TCCTACCCCCCCTAAAAACACATCTAAACAACTCAATTTTTATGTTATATTTAAAGCTCTCACCTTCTCTGCTCTAGGTCATTGTCTTTCATCCAAATATGACAAACATTTATTACAGCAAGGTGCCTGAGGCAAACTCAAAACGCAGCGTCCTTCTGAACTCTGAATCTTCCCCGTTATGAGCTGGATTAAATGAAAGGTACAATGTTCGACTCGGATTTTGTGGCAGAACCTGGCCTTTACTCAGAAGCTACCTCTCTGCCGTAATGTCCACTAGGTCAGGAGACAGGGAGATCCAGCTCTAAAAATAGCATGCTGTAGCTATGTGAGGGAGTTCCAGGAGTGAATGATTGCTGGGAGAAGAAATAGGTTACTTTTCTCCTGTTTCCAGGATATGGTCTGGAGGGCAGGTGGAACGTGTCTTTGCAAGTGGCTTTCACTAAAAAAACCAAAATCTAGGAGATGAAATCCACAGTAACCATCATGAAGTGCAAATCCTGCTACCTCCTCAAGTCTCTGTGGACCTCTGGAGGGCAGCTCTGCTCAAAATCCTCGACATGTGGGAAGTCTGGACTCTATGTCCCCAGGAGCAGTTGTCCTCCTGCAACACTAGCCTACTGAAAATCTACGATGGGCATTTGACTCTCTGTAGAGTTGCCCATAGCCATGTACCTCAAGTCACAGGAGTTGGTTCAAATTGGCAGCATTCACCTGGGCAAAGATGTTTTCCTGTGGAAAGCTGTTGTTGGGTGGACACCCAGCTTCACGCACTGCTTCTGGAGACCCTTCTTCAGTTCTGCAGCTGGGCTTTGTGCTTGTGGCAATGCTGTGGAAAGCTAAGGTGGCTGGAGTTTATGGCAAGTTAGTGGTTCATTTCTGTAAAACACAAAAAGGTTTAAATCTAAAAAGGGGTTAAAAAGTGCTAGATACATGTTTTAGCTACATAATTGCCAGAAAAGGTGTTGATCAATTTTGCAAGGTTGCTTTGTGTCTCTCAGAAGCTCAAGTGCTCAAGCATTGTAACTTGCCACCCTTCTGTACATTTTTAGGGACAGCTGATGCGGAAGAGCCATTAGCTTTACAACCTGGTATAGCACAGATTTGTAGGTACGCACAAGTATCTTAATATTCAGAAATAAGAAACATTTACATTAAAAAAAAAAGAAAATCAGATCTCAAATAATAAAACTTTGATAACTTCCAACTTTATAGTAAAGCTGACAATAAAGGTAAGCTTAAATTAATTAAGCAGAGGTGCTGGTCTAAAAATGTGAGATGTCAAGAAAATGTTGCACAGAACTGCTAGAAGTGTGTCCCCCTTAAATGATGCTGATGCAAATTTGAATTCTAACACTGCCACATAGCATTAGAAACTTGGTTACTGAGAAGGGTTGTGCTGGAATTAGAAATAAAATATTCTCATTGTCACTCAGCTATGAAGGAGCTCCAATTAGACGAGCAAAATGAGAGAGACCCTTTTTTATGTTTCTTACTGGTTTGAACCAGAACTCAGGCAAAAATGATTAACAGTGTTATTAATAAGGGGGAAAAATCCTAAAAAAGTCTGCCTGGATTTTCATTTGTTAACAAACTCAAAATTAAGCTGAAACACGCCATTTCACAGAGGGTTGTCTTACTGCTTGTATTATGTACGATGTTAGATCAAATGTTTGGGTTGTCCACATTAGCAGCTGCACCATTAAACTGAGGGTACAGTACTATGGGAATGAAGTGGTCCCCAGTACACCAAACACCAACGGAGAGGAACAGGGCACGCTGGCCACCCGAGCCCCTGGCTCAATCCATTTTGTCAGAGGTTCAGCTGTGCAAGGTATGCGGAAGCGAGATGTCGCAGCAGTGCCTTGCTGCTGGCAGTGTGGGGAGCTTTATGAATCCCTCGCAGAGCTCCACAAGCAGGGCGCAGGTCGCAGGGGGACATTTTCAACATCTGGTCACACTGGACCTCCCAAGGGAACAGCAAAGGGCACCCTTCTCCACCCCACATCGCCAAAACACATTTCCAAGTCCCAGCTGCAAAACCAGACCTTTGAAGTCATTCCCCTTCCCCAGTTTCCTCCCAGCCCCACCAAAATGCGCGTTGCCCCCTCTGTGTCCCCCAGCCACGTGTCATGGAAAGGACCAGACGCCTGGAACTAGGGTCGCCACACACACACAGCATCCTGGAAAGACACACGTATCCTGACAGCCACTGGTGCTTCCCAATGTAGGAAATTGTGGTTTCCCACCTGCAACCCAGCCCCGAGAGGTCACTGATGTACATAAAAGGGGCCGAGGGTGCTGAAACTGGACTTTTGTGATACTCTGCAGTATAGTTCTAGAAATAGTTTTTCCCCTTCTAGTTTGAGAGAGGTTAGTATGTGTGTTCCTATAGGGAGTTCCTGTACTATGTGATCCTCACAGTTGTTATTTTATACACAGACATCTTTTGAAAAAAATATTTAGGTCATGTATAAAGAATTACGACTTACAATGAAAACATTTAAAAGCCTTTTTTTTTTTTTTACAAAAGTTTATTTTCCACAAGGAAGAGCAATAGGAAAAATTAAATTGTTTTCCACATATTGTTTTCTTGAAACAAGGTCTACAAGGACATATTCAGCACCAAAACTAAAAACAAAAAAAGAAAAATACAAACAGCCATAGAATATAATCTATAAAGCAAACATTTAATATTGCACTTTGTTTCTCTAATGTTTGGATTTTACTTACTTTTTCCTAATTCAGATCAGAATTCTCTATCAAATAACGGGCTACAACTGTGAACCTCATGTTTTATAATGCTGAGAACTGACCAATATTTGTGGAAGAGTAATGCCTCTGAACAACTAACAACGTAATTTAAACCAAAAGTCTTTATTTGATAAGGTTATAGATTTTTTTCACTCTAATCACAAAGGCTGTGATGCCATGTCAATTACTACAATATTGGTCAATCCTGCTTCATATGCAATTTTCCATTATATTGTGATAAGTACTTTAATGCTATGTATATCAGCAATTGTTCCCTAGTCTGTTAAAGAAACAAAAAAGGAAAAAAAAGTAAAACCACCAAATGCCCTTTTATGCCAACGATCCCATCAGCTTTTACAATTGTCTGGTTGGAGAGGGTAGAGGGAAGGGACATTCACAAAATTGGCCTAATAACGCAAGACATCACCCAATTTCCTTCTCATCCAATATTCTTGCTCCAAGCCCAAGCCTTTTAACTGAATCACTTAAAACGCGACTCATTTATATTTTATCACCCTGTTGTCATTTTTGAAACATGAATTATTGTTCATGTTCTCATAAAGGCCACTTATGGAAAAGCCTATATTGTCGCATTTATGAAGCCTTAAAAACAAGACAGAGGTTTTTTAAGAATGAGCACCATGCAGAAACACCAGCCTCCCCTCTCCTGCTCCCTTCTGAGCTGTTTTATTGCACAAGGAGATAGACGCTTGATGGATTACATCTTGATTTAAGTCATCAACACTACAAGCGTGTCCCTTTGTCATTGGTCTGTGTTACACAATTTCTGAAAAGGAAAGTTGACCTTTATTATAAATCTCTAGCATGTAAGTGCTGGTATTGGTGTTAGCACATCAAATGGCTCCATTGCACTCTTTTCTTCCTTGGGGCACACTCAAGGGCAAGTGCTCTTTCCATATAATTTCTTGCATTCTGAATGAATGTATGATGAAATGCACTGTTCTGTTTGTTTTAAAGCTCTTGAGAGTACCACAGAAGATGCAATAACTGAAGCAACTCTAGCTAACCGATATCTGAGTATGGCTGGTAACACTGGTCTTGCCCAGTTTAATTATACTTCTAGTCTTACTATTTTTACAGTATCATAAACCCTGAAGATAATACAAAGTGCACAAACTGAGCTCTTGGCATAGTCCAAGCTTTTTCTGCAGTTTGAAATATACTTTCTACTAGAGACTCATTACATATAGAATTTTTGGTGATTAGGTAAATATATATAAAAATAAATTTACTTTCCCTTCCCATCCCTACTACTTGAGATATTGGTCTGTCTATGAATCCTAGACAGCATATGACTATTTCCTTTTAAAATTCTTTTGAGGCTGAGCTGGTATCTACTGGTGCTGCTTTCATTTGTGCCTTTTTTTTTTTTTTTAAAGCTTCACAACTTAAATATCTCTTTTTTTTATAATGTAGAAAGAGAAATGGGAATGAGGGTGGGTTTTGTAACTTTTGTGTATGTCCCTATTCCAGATCCCCCTCTCGAATAAAGAACAAAAACAAAACACAAACACAAAAACAAAAATGAAGTAACTGAACAGTGCAACATAACAAAACAAATAGCATTCCAACAGTTTGGCAAGTGATGAGTTCACCTGAGATTAAGTGATTTTTAGGCAGTCTGTAACAAAATGCTGCTTTGCAATAATAGTAGAAAGGCAACAAATTCTTAAAGAAATCAAGAAGGTATTACACAATCTTGATGAAGTCTATTAGTTTCTTTCTATTAACTCTCCACCCTCCCACCCCAGCCCCACATCTGTTGCTTATCTACTACAGTAGGCTGCAAAACATACAGCAAGAAGGATTGGCTTGAAGGCATTTGATGTTTGTAAATAAATCCACAACAGGATCCAAGCTGAAGATGTGATACATGATCAGCCTACTAGGACAATTCTGAGCATGTGCATATGCAGGTAAAGTCCAGGCTACATTAAATTAAAAAAAGAAAAGTCAGTGCATTTGTCAAAGTCTGTTGCTGCTCTTTTTTGTCAAAGCTTTCTTTTGCTCCTTATTGTGCGGACCACAAACAAATAAGGGGGGTAACAACAGTCCGGCATAAATGAGAAAAAGCTGTAGTGACACTGAACCGCACAACGTTAAGCAATGAGCATGTGCAAATTTCCCAATCAAGAGAGGAAGCCATCCCTCTCTTACAATGTGGTTTGAGTTTTTTGACACACATGACTGTAGGTTAGTAAGGCTGCTCCTAGTATGTGCCAGTATGTGTGTCTCCACTATGACGCCTTGACCTTCAACACGGCAGGTACAATTCAAAACCCAAGTCAAGTCAGCTTCTTATGGATTCCTTCAACGAGAGGGGCAAGATGGTCTGTCATCTGTGGGCTGATCTGGGTTTGGATCAATCTAACCAAAAGAGACAAAAACACAACCCAAGGCATTTTTAGAGTCAATTGCTAGAAATAAACCAATCCAAACAAAAACCCACCGAAATTTGCAAGTTTAAGACAAATCATAGCAATAAATGGCATTCCAAAACCAAAGGTTATTCAAATAACTCAAAAACATCTAGTCAATTTGACAAAACTTTGATCAAAAAATTAGTAACTAAGTATAGGAGAAAATTTGCAACTACAAAAACTACAGACTGATACTAATTTCAGATAAGCACAAAGAACTAATAAAAGCTTGAAAAAATCTGCTCTAGTAGCAGGGAAATAGTTTGAATTATTTACTGTATACAAATAAGATGACTGATCAATAAAATGTAGCTTAAAAAATATTTGATTTCAGAAGTTTTGCTTCAGAAGACAAAGTTATCAGTAAAAAGTCATTCTACTTTTAATTTACAAGTGATTAATCCTCAAACATGCCATTAAATGTCTTAGAGGTTCACGTGTTCCACACCTTACCTCTTCTTCCTTTCTAGAAAAGGAAGGATGGGAACAACCTGCTAACTTAGGTCTCCACAACCAGACAGTAAGAATAGTTGAAGTCTACAATATATAGTTTAGACAACATTCTTTTTTTTCCCCAAAATTTCAAAATCTTTAAGTACTTAAAAAGAAAAGGACTTAAGAGTTGTATTCTAGGGTTAAGCTACAGAAGAGTTCTCCTGGAAGCCTCCAGCACACAAAAACCATGCCCCTCTCTGCCCACTCAATAGCAGATTAGCTTTTCAAGAGGAGAAAAGAAAAAAAAAATCAACTCAATTCAGGCAAGATTTAGCCTACGGACACTATTTTACTTTTGTCCTATACCATTGCTTTTTCCTGAAAACTATGAACATGGAAAGCTTTTGAAGTTATGTCATGGTTATTGAGTGGCTTTCACAGAACTAAAAATGCAGCCAGAGATGCTGCAGAACTGCATTCTTACAGAAATTTAAGTCAGGAAGAGTACCTTTGTAACTTCTGAAGCTCCTGAAAGCGCCACATACACAGAACCAAGCATGCACAGAGAGAGTAGTTTTAGAAAGAAGTAGAGCTGGAAAACATTAGCATGTTGTGCTTCTATAGACCCAAAATTCTGGTGTTAACCAATGCAGTGTATTATATATGTAATGCAAGGTTTTAATGAAGTTGCTAAGAGGGTACACAACAGTTCAGAAATTCTACAAAGCAACAGAATTGTGAAGAATCTGGAAAACTCTTGATGCAATGCACCTGCAGTTTGCTAAAACTAAGTTGCCTTATCCCCTGTTCATAATTTTAATGATTTCTCCTGATTTTTAGGAAGGAGAAACAACTCCCTACATTTATCCCACAAGACACAATTCAGAAAAACAGTGAATTAATCATCATATTCTGTCTGAGGTACCTACTTCTGAATAGAGGGGTGGAGGCAGAAAACGGAACTCCTGGATGTATGCAAACAACGGTCCTGGAAGCACTCTCTCAAAGTCATCACAAGCACCTATGGGTGCAAGGCTGGACTGCCTTTGTTCCTCTGTGACCACTTCTGCATAGCTAGGAGGTGCTGCAGGGAAAAGGCACACGCAGTTCGAACAGCAAGTTCTTATGCATGTCAAAATATATAACATGATAAATATTAAACTTTTGTCATTGTAAAATGCAACAGCAAGTAGGTAAATGACTTCAGTGACTTTTTAACAGTTGTTGAACATGAAAGGGAGGATAGGCTGTTCTGTTTCATTTTAAGATTATGCTCAAATCCAAGAGCAGACTAACCACTGCTTATTGTGGCTTAATTATCCCCTTAAAATTCAAAGCATACTTAAGAGTACTGAATTTCTGTACAGGTAGGAATGATAAAACATTGCATTCCTCTGGACTCCACAAATCTGAGGCTGGGATTTGTACATAAAAACAGATGTTTATTAAATGTGTGAAAACAGAGCGAAGGAGATACAAAGTTTCTCCTTTGGCAAGACAGATTTCCATTGAAATAAATTACATTATCCTTCCACAAAGCCTTGGCTACTAAGGCTGGTAAAGGACACCATAAACTGGTATTATGACAGATTACAATGTCTTGTAACTAAGAATGCCATTGGGATACTGGAGGCAGAATTAATTCTGCACAGGTACAAGTGGCATCCTGCGCTTTCACTTGTGCCAGTTTCCAAGCAGCTGGATTTCACTGCTTGTCCTTGGTAGAGGAAGGCAGAGAAGGAACTCTGTTCTTCTACAGAGGACAAGCAGGTGGCAAGGAAAAATCCACAAGGGATTTCCTGTGGACTTTATTATGAAGGATGTAATTTGGGTCTGTTTGCATGACAGCAATGAATAAACCAGACAAAAATCAAAACACAGCAGCAAATTGATTGGGATTTGTATTGTCAAGTTACCTTCTGGTCTTTCAGGCAGTGTCAGGCCAAGCCAATTCATGTTCATGCTACCCTGGCTGCTCACACTTGATGTTCTGCTACCAAATGGATGTAGAGGAATGGTACCAATGACCAGTGGTAAGTTAAGGAATAAATCCATGGCGCCTGGAATATCAACATATACCTGAAGAGCAACAACAAGAAGCATATGATTAAAAGGTATGCTCGTACCACCACTTAATCATTATTAGATTAAAATTCTCTGTCCATGGAATTTTCCATGAGGAACTTAAGTTCCTTATTGCCTGTTTTAGGGCCAATGCCCCTATGGAGACAAAAAGCTCTGCTAGTCAAAAGAGGCTCAGGATTCCTAACATGAGCCCTCACATGGAAATGTCACCTACTCATAACGCATTTACTTAGCTGGCACACCACGACTGTTTTAAGAACATGCATGATTTAAACTGAATTTATTTACAGAACTCCTGTCAGGACACCAATATTAGGATATGTATTTATTTTGTAACTAGATAGCACAGAATGCTTTGTTAGCAATTCACAATGAATGATGGAAACTACTCATGCTCAAGTGAAACAAGCCATCCAACGTACCATGAGTGAATACTCCACACGGATTATACTACAGTCGAGGATTGAAGGGGAAACAGGTGGAATTTTCAACTGTTTGCCATTCCAGGTTTCTGTTTTACCAGATGACAAGGATTCCCCACGCAGGTTGGCAACAAGCTGTTTGACTTCCTTCATTTTCCCTTTGGCATAAAATGCCTGCGTTTGGTAAATGGCTGCCTTTGGCACCACCACACGGGAAGAGCAGTTCTCAATCTCAGCAAAGATCTGAATTGATTCACCTGAAACAAAACCAGAATTTCATGTTCTCCTTATATTTACAACCCAGCTTAAGCAAATTGCCACATTCTGTGTATTGTTATAATGCACTGGATGCCTCTAGCAATGCTCTACCTTGAAAAACATCCACTAACAGTAATAGGACCACCATGAGCTAATCTAAAAGAGAAATGCACAGGTCTAATAGAAGCAGATGTCCTTTGACAATCTGATTACACAGCTAGCATTAGTTAACAAAATTAGTCATAGTTAAGAAAATATCAAGAAAATTGCTGAATGCAGACTGAGGTGGTAAGAACAGTTTAAATATTTTGTTTACATAAAAGCAGTAAGTACAAACTGTCATTTTAAAAGGGAAGGAAAAACATTTCCTATAATTACTTCTGTTACGTACCTGGGGTGTAGCCCTTCCTTTCAATTTTGGCACTTAAGGATATTGGGCCTGAGGTACAAAACCAACAACAGAGAGTCTTTTCTTTTGTGCCTGCTTGGGGTGACTGCAAGAAAAGAACAACGTCACCCATTTAATTAAGAGTTCCATGAATTTCTTCATCCATTTTAATCAACACAAAAAATGACTTTCATAATGTACTTATTACATATTTTGATAAACATAGCTAGTTTTATTTAGAGGAAAAAACCTCAAGCCATTTTAATGGCACTATGCAGACACGATGTTTATTCTATTCTAATTCCATTACTCATTAATACTGGTTTTTCTGCTACACTTCATACTACAGTCACACTTAAAACACTTTATACATGAACACTGTGTGACTTAAGGAAAGGCTTTATAGCCTACATATCCCAATATATTGTTGGCAGAGCTTTTCATTCATCAGTAAACTAGACCATCTTTCCAGTACATTGTATTTCAGAAACAATAACTAAGTTGAAGTACTGTAACTTTGACTCCTGCTATTTCCTCTATTTCAGAATGATTCCTTTTCACCTATATTAAACAGACTTATTTTACACGATATCAGGATTTAAGACTTGATCCAAAGCCCATTAAAGTCAAATGGGAGTCCTTTGACTTTAATGGAATTTGTGCAAGGCCGACATCCCTTTGCAAGTCTGATTTTTCACCCATACACACAAGAAACCTATTTCAATGGACTTCGAGCTTTTTTTCCCCCCTCCATAGAGTGGGATTTGAGGAAGAGGAGAAAAAAAAAGAAAAGAAATTTTAGGCCCAATTGGAATCAAATCCTCATTGAAAGCAGTTGTGATACTGAAATTATTTTAGTGAAATGACATTTCAGAAACAGACTATACAGAATTATGATAATTTCTCCCCACTGTAGAAAACTGTCCATATGGAAATTATCAATTATGCACACCAGTACATTTTTTACTTTGCATTTTTAAGTTAGCAGTCTCTTACTATAATATTCTTTTAAGTTTCACTGTTCCTTCCACAGATTATTCTTTATTCAAAAATCAAAGAGGAACAGTTCACAAAGTTTTCCTTCTTAGTGACATTTTACAATTTAGTATTATCAATTGAAATTGATAAAGCCATTTTACATCTTAAATGTGAAGCAACTCCAAGTAGAGGAAAAATGTAGCTTTCAAAATACCAGTAAAGAGTTGCTGAACTGATGTAATACTTAGAAGATCAGCTGTAATTAAACTAGCAAATAAATAATAGGTAAAATTAGATGTGGATATTGTTTCACTTATTATACTTAATTATTTTTAAGCCAGAAACAAAGAATGAGTAATTCTGTCAATTCTTACCAGTAATGAAGGAGTGTTGATATCTATATGTTCAAAGACTGTAAATTCCTTCTTTAATTTTACTGGTAGAAACCAAGGCCTATGCAATTCGGCTTTCACCCAATAGCGCACACTGCCATGTCTGCCTTCGAATGAGGTAGCAAGTGGTCTGTGCAGGACACAAAGGTCAAAATTGAGTAAAATCTTTCTGTCTAATAATGATACAATTGCTCAGATCAGGGATTAGTATGTAGAATTGCATTTGTAATGCACTGTATTATTTAATGCAGCATAACTTATTTGCAAAGTTTCCATATCTCAGAAAAATTCAAGATTAAAGATGGGAGAAAAAATCATCTCCAATTCATCCTACTATAGTTTTGCATAGATTTTAAGAATCAATTAAAGAATTGTACTAGAAAATGCCAGGAGAGTACACATTTCCTTTAAACTTAAGAGGCCGCTTTTACATCTAGACTAAAGCATGCCCTTTTAAGGCCAAATTAAGACTACCAACTTAAAATTAGCATTAGTATCAACCAATCATTGTTTTGGATATTGTATTTTGTAAATCATTGTCTACTGTTTACTTGGCTGGTATCTCAGTATCAGGTTGATTTTAGCTGTAAGTCTGCACTTTTGTAGTTTGTTTTGCCTTCAGCAGAGTAAATATTTCAATTTAGAGTTCTGAAGAGAAAGGCTATTTTGAGTACCTTCTGATTTTCCTCTACCCTGATGAGACCAGCTTAAAACATTTATATTGTACATGGATGTACATATATCATATACACATAACATCATCAAGCCTATTCTGCTCTGAACTTTGACAGATGAAAGAAGTCCTTTTTGGGAGCTGGAATAAAAACAATGTGGAAAGGATCTCCAAACCTTTCAGCATCACCTTTTTCCTGTAACATCATAAAATGAAAGACAAAAGATCTTTATATTACAGTCATCTCCAATTAACAGTAGTTTTCCATAACTTAATTTATCCTTATTTTTATGCAAGGAAATTTTTCTATTACACTGTTTTGAATACGTCATAATATATGAATTAAACATAATTATTTGCAAAGCTTCCATATCTTCCATAGGGAATAATACTAGCCAAGATAGTACTTTACTAGAATGATTCTTTCAGTTACAGGTTTGACTTCTCTATTGGCATATCTGAAATGTTTACTTTTTTTCCCCTAATAATCCAAACGAAAGGATTTTCTAGATCAGTCTTCAATGTTTAATCCTGCCCCATATTCTTTAGGGCAAAAATCAGTAAGGCCAGTGTGTGCCTTCTTTCTTTCCACTGTCTCTCTGTAGTGTAAGTAGATTTTGGAAGTACTCCAACATGGACACAAAATAACAAATAAGTGGGCAGTGTCAAACTTCAGGCTTTTAATCCCAGCCTTTGTTTTTTCAGTATCATCAACAGCTGGTTTCACAGCTACTCCTTCAGGTCAGTTAAAAAGAACCTGTGTTTTGACCAATGCTTGTGACATTTGACTGGCTATCTGCTTCACTTCAAGGTAAGCATTTCATGTTATGTACGTTTTGTTTTTTCATATTTCAATGCCCCTTTCAGCTGAAGGGAAGACCAGTATTAGCCTTACTGCTTTTCACAAAATGCTAAATTGTCTTATATGTCCATGTATACAGGTCTTCTCCACTGTTCCAGTAAGATCTACTATCAAGTCCTGCACTGTTCACTTTGAAACTGACCCACAAAAGTGGTTACCATCTGCAGGTTCTGCTAAAACCAGCACCTCTAACAAACAGATGGTTTATTAGCTTTAATATTAGGTACTGAGCTATTTCACATAACACACTGCCCATTTTTTTCAATGTTAATGGCTTCACTGCTTGCCTTTTACAGCAAAAGGATCTTTTTTCCATCCATGTTGAGACTCCCTCTGTTCCTGTGTATTTAATTTTATTGCAACTTGTATTTTAGCTAATTTCCATATTTGTAACTCCTCTATGTATAAATCTTCCATTCACAATGTCTACATTACACATTTCAGACTTGGGGGGTGGGGGAACAATCCTTATCTTAACACTTCTGCTCTCACTCTTGCTTCACCTTTGCTTTCTGAGACAAACAGGATTAGGTATGGGAATTTTTCTTGCTTCATCCACCCATCCTTCTGCTTATTTCCATCCAGGCTTTCTGCATAAAGGCCAGCATGGGTACATACATCCTATTCAAATGAGAACAACCTCCTCTTTTGTTCAAACCTGGTTAAACTTGCCACATTTGTTCCAGACTGAGCCCAAACAATTCAGCTGTGATCTTATCTCTAGTTCTGCTGGTCTGCATGGCTCCAGTAAACTGCTGGTTGAGTTAGAAGGTATCTCAGCCACTCTGCAGTACTCCAGTGACAGTTCAAATTCCTCTCCCTCCTCTTGGGAAGGGGTAAAATATTGGAAGACCTAATAAATCAGTAGGACTTGGTCAAAAGAAAGTGAGCAACTGGGCAGCAATGAGCTCCTGGTTTTGTGGAAAATGAAAAAAAAAAAGGAACTGTGTATCAGTTTAAAAGCAACCTCTTCAGTTTAATGAGATTATGTCCTCCGCTGCATGTCGGTGCACAATTCCTACTACCATTGAAAAGGTTTCCCCTCCACCCACAGCAGGAGTTTTGCTCAGGCGGGTGGGCAGCAGGGCCCAAGGACTGTGTACGGGCACTTACGTCTGTGGAAGCTCGAAGCTGAATGCATATTCATGCCTTCCCGAATGGATGGTGTGAAGGCCTTCTTCTGAATTGTCATCATCTAGGAGGGGAAGAAAAAACCAATATGCTATTCCATCTGCACACATTTTATACTTTATATGGGCTTCTCTTCCAGAATAAAAGGCACTTACACACTAGTTACAGCATTTAAGAACGTGGTGTCCCAGAATCAAGGGTCTCTGGTCCATTCATATTAACTGCTGGATGCAGGGCCAAATCTTACCTACAGAAGGGTAGGCAAGATTGGCAGATTCACCTTACAGAGAAGCAGAGGTTAATTTGCTTTAATTTATAATCCCGCCTCTGAACACTGACACAGTTGCAACTGCTGCCATTTCAAGGCCTGCCTGCAAGATCTGTAATGGAAATCATGCTTTCCACTGGTATTCCTAGTTAAAATAAAATAGAGATGGCTCTTTAACAGCATTAAGCCATCTGCACTAAGTCTGCTATGTAAGATAAAAGGATGCCGAATTACTAAATTTAATCTCCTGCCTGGCAACAGCGTCCAGAAATTAATCACCAAAAAAAAAGTGGGAGAAAAAAGAAGGGTCTACAAGTACCACCTGGAAAGTACCAGATAAATTCAGGGGCACAGAAAATGGCAAGCTGCCCAATTAACACTGTCTAGAGCTAAACTTTTTGGTTTTTTATAGGTTAGCTTGGACAGCAAGACCCAGATATTTGTGGTTCCAGCAAGGAAGCTGACCTTTTTTTATGGTCATGATTTCTTGCACGCCTTTAAATGCTGCAACAAATTCGCAGTTTATTCCAGCGTAATTACCATAAAAGCAGAAAAACGCTGACTCCACCAAAACAGAAAGTTGAGAGAAAAATAACTGAGCATCTCGCACATAAAAAGGGCTGGAATAATAAAAGGGGATATAGTGAGACAATGCGAAAGGCAACCTCTTATATTTAATGGTCTGAAGCATTAATGGAGGCACGTAGGCACAGAGGAGGGTTTTAAGTTCCCATTGTCCTACAGAAACGCCGATGCTCCCCTTCCTGTAGTGCACCGCAAAGGCTGAAAATCTTTAAAAATGAACCCCCCAAAAAGCCTCCACCAGCAAGCTATCGAAACAAATGCACCAGCAAAAATGCGCCGAAAGGGCGAGACAATGTATCAGCGTGAGGGTGGTGGTTTTTGTTTTGTTTTATTATTTTATTTTTTGAGGCAGGGGGAGCGCTGCTTTTGCTTGCGGCTCTATTTCCCAGCAGGGCGATCTCCTCCTCACAGACAAGTTCCCGTCCTGCCTCCCCCCCTCCCTTTCTGCCAGCTCAGCAGTCCCGCCGAGCCGGGCGGCCGCGGCGGAGC